TCTGTATGCCTACCTCACCCCCTGTATTCTCCCCTCTCTCTCTCTCTGTATGCCTACCTCACCCCCTGTATTCTCCCCTCTCTCTCTCTCTGTATGCCTACCTCACCCCCTGTATTCTCCCCTCTCTCTCTCTCTTTCTATCCCCATTTTCTCTATCCCTCTCTCCCACTCTTTCCAATTTTCTCTCTCTCTTTCTCCCTCGCGCTCTCTTCCCCCTTTCTCTCCATAGCTCTGTCTCTATCCCTCTGTTAATACTTACCTCATTCCCTCATTTCATGCCCCCTCTCTATCCCCCACCTTCTCTCTCCCTAACCCTCTCTCTCTATCCAGACCTCTCTCTCTATTCCTCCCTCCCTCCCTCTCTCTCTCTCTCTCTCTCTTTCTGCTGGAGCTTGTGGTTTTAGTCAATTCATTCATCAGACACCTGAGCACCTCCCATTACCAGTGACCCCCCACCCCTGAGGGTCATGCCCTCCTGATGCCAGTGACCCCCCACCCCTGAGGGTCATGCCCTCCTGACACCAGTGACCCCCCCACCCCTGAGGGTCATGCCCTCCTGATGCCAGTGACCCTTCACCCCTGAGGGTCATGCCCTCCTGACGCCAGTGACCCTTCACCCCTGAGGGTCATGCTCTCCTGATGCCAGTGACCCCCCACCCCTGAGGTCCTCGTGCCAGTGACCACTCATCTCTACGACCCTGCTATGACCAACCCCGCCCCCCACCGACACCGAGAACAAAGTAATGTCCGGTAGCTCAGCTCGGTCACAGCAACTGCAATCTAACGCCCTGTTTTCTGCTCTCCCTCCTACCCTGCTCCCTCCCTCACTATGCGGATGACCCGAGGGGGAAGTGTGCACTCAGCCCTGTCCCCACGATCGATTCGGGGTAAACTGCAGCCATCAGTGTCACTGCCACAATGGGGCACAGTGCGATCCCACCACCGGCAAATGCAGCTGTGCTGTTGGCTACACAGGAGTGAGGTGAGGTTCACAAGAGGGGGCGGGGGAGGGCAATAGGGGTAGGAGAGTGGGCAATGACAGGGTAAAGGGGCAAAGAGGGGAGCAGGGAAGAGGGAAATGGGGAGATGTGTGATGGCAAGGGAGGAGTTGGGGAGGGTAAGGGGAAATTGGGTAAGTGGGTAATAGGAGAGGGTAAGGAGGGAATGAGGGGAGGGTAAGGAGGGAATGAGGGGATGGTAAGGAGGGAATGAGGGAAGGGTAAGGGGGGAATGAGGGGAGGGTAAGGGGGGAA